AGAACTCTTTGTGGCTGGTATCCAAGTCTACATGAAGACTTCCACTTTATTCTACTCTTCAGAGCCCGGCCACTAAGGAAGGAACATGAAAAAAATGGTGGCTGCCATGTTGTTTTATTTTTTTCTTTAGGTTTTTGCCATAGGGCACATGTGCTTCCTGGAGACAGAGAGAGGGAAAGTGAGAAATCACCCCCTGGGGGGATGGCCATGCTGCAATCCCTTCTCCCTTCTTCTCTTGAGATTTTGGGCATGCACACACATGTACCTGGTGTGATTTTTCAAACCACCAGGTGTGGGACTTAAACTGTGGTCTGCCATGTGGGAGTCTGGAGCCTTAACCACCCTGCCACCTGCTGGCCCCAGAATGGAGGCCATTTGGAAGCCAATGCACCAGGAGTAGTCCTGAGACTGGTAACAAAGCACCACCAGCTGGACAGTTTAAACAATAAGAAGGTATTGCTTCTCACTTTCAGACGTTGGAAGTCCAAGATCAAGGTGGCAGCAGGGCTGTTTTCTTCTTCTTTTTAAAAAGGAATCATTCAGTTAATTGTATTCATTTATTATCATTCTTCAATTTGACCAGAGAGAGAAAGGGAGAGGGAGAGAAAGCAAACACCCAGGTCCAGGACTGAACCACGGTCAGCCATGTGGGGATTTAACGCCTTAACCACAATGCCACCTGCCGGTCTCAGGGTTGGTTTCTTCTGAGGCCTGTGAGAAAATCACTTCTAGGCCTCTCTCTCAGCTTCTGGGAGTCTTGGCAATCCTTGGTTTGTGGGTGCTTCTCTTCTCCTGGTGTCCCATCTTGTTTTCCCTCTTTATGGGTCTGTCAGTTTTCACATTTTTTTTAAGGACTGGACCATTCTGGATTAGGGCCTATCCTAATGACCTCGGTTTAACATTGTTACCTCATCTCGGGAAAGACCTTGTTTCCATGTCAGGTCACATTAGGACGTAAGGGGGAGGTTAAGGCTTTTTGTGGGACAAAATTCAACCAGATCCAAGAAGCACGCCTTTGAGACCCACCGGTCTAAGGGACACCTGGTTACATTCATGAGAAGTACAGGGTTCCCAAAGGCTAGAACCAGGTGTCAAAGAACGCATCTGCGGCAAGGCTCGGATGAGAACTCTGATTTCTTGATCCACACTTGCTGCACTTTCCATGAACTGCTCCGCGTTCAGCCATCTTTTACCTAAGAGCCTCTGAAGATCTCAGTTCTCTGTGAAACCCACTAGACTCTGCATTTTCTTGGCTAAAGATTTTATCAATCCACAAAACTCCGCAGTGCCAGGGATGTTTTCTAGGAACCTTTTAAAGGTGGAGGAGAGGATCATTTTGTTGAGGACTATATAATTCAGCATTTCAGCTGTACACAGAGTAGGAAGAAAGCAAAGCAGAGGGGATGGAGAGGAGGTGATGAAGGAGGAGGAAGAAGGAAATGGGCATGAGGGACACAGGGAAAAAGAAGTAACGACTGTGCCAATTTACACTCCAGCCATAGATGAAAACCAGTTCTTCCTGCCACATGTGTATATGCTATACAGGTAGTTTCTAGAATACTTGTAAATGAATACCTGCAGAGCCTGCTCCATGGCTTGGTGGAGAAGACAGCCACATGGTCAACCACATGGTTCGAGTTCTGGAACTGGCTGTGCAAGAAATACTCTGGGCAGATGGGCACGTGTGTCCAAAATCCCAAAAGGAGGAAGAGATGTAGGAGAAGGGATGAGAGAGTGACCATTCCCATAGAGAGGGCGTGCTCCTCTCCATCTCTGGCAAGTGCGTGCGCCCTCGAAGGCCCTCCCAAAAAGAGCACCTACGAACCCAGCTGTCACATAAAGATAAAGAACACTGATGGGGACATTGGCGTCCCCTGTGCCCTGCTCACGGTTTCCGTCTTCCTCCTCCCAGAGCTAGTCACTAACCTGAATTTTGTGTTTATCATTCTTTCGCTTTTCATTATGGTTTTACAATACAGAGATAACCCCATAAGCAACATCGTGCTTAGTTTGGCCTGTTTTTGAACTTTATGTAAATTCATACAGTGTGTATGCATATATGACTCTGTACCTTTTGCTCCACTGGTGAAACTCATCCATATTCATATATGTAGTTGTGGTTCTTTTGTCATTGCTCTCTTTCCCACCACCTTCCTCTTAATAAACAGACTGTCTCTGTTGTTACCAAGAAAAAATGTTGCTATGAGCGTTGGTATGCACATCTACTGGTGCACTGTGCCAGACTTTCTGTAGGATATACACCTAGAAAGTAAATGACAAATTGTTGGGCACGCTCATATTTTATTTTATTTTCTGGGTTTGGCTATAGGGTGCATGCACTTGTCAGAGAGAGACAGAGAGGAGGAAAGTGAGAAATCACCCTTCACAGGGATGGCACTCCATAATCCCTTCTCTTCTTGGGATTTTGGGCATGTGAGTATATGTGCCCATCATGAGTTTCAAGCTGCGAAGTCTAGGACTTGAACTGAGGTTGGCCATGTGACAGTTCAGTGCCTTAACCACCACGCCAGCTGCAGGACCCATGGGCGTGCTCATCATAACTTTAGTAGGTCACTGATTAGTTGGTTGGTTCCTCAGGGTTGTACCAATTCACACTCCCATCAGTGGCATCTAACACTTTCTGCTAACCCATATCTCAACAACACTTGATGTTATAATTGAACATTTGGCTCTCCTGGCATTTACCATATGAACTGACTTTGGGACCAAATGCTCACATTAGACATGACCTCTGTATCGGGTTTGGTTATCTAGCATGCCTTTGCCTACAATATAATAGGTACTGGGAACCAGCAGTTAGCGTAATGGCTTTGTCGCTGGACTCCCACGTGGTCGACCGCGGTTCGCGTCCTGGACCCGGTGGCTTAAAACTCACTCTGGGCACGTGTGCGTGCATGCCCAAGATCCCGAGAGGAGAATGGAGGAGAAGGGATTGTGGCGTGGCCATACCCCCTGGGGGGTGATTTCTCGCTTTCTGTCTCTATGTCTCTCTCTGTCTGTCTGGCAAGCGCACGTGCCCTATAGTGAAAACCTCTCCAAAATAATAATAATAATAATAATAATAATAATAAGTACTCAATAAATGACAAGTTATAAGAATCTAAGTTTTGGCCATTTGGTGAACAGGATTTTTAAAAAAATAATTATTTTTTATTTAACTTTACTTATTTATTTATTTTAATTTGACCAAAGAGGGAGAGAAAGAGAGAGAGGGAAAGTGAGAAGGCAAGCCGCCAGGTCTGGGATTCGAATAGCCATCGTCCATGTGGGAGTCCAGCGCTCATAACCACCACGCCGCCTGCTAACCCCCAGATTTTTTTTTCATACTTTAAATGGTTATCAGCATGTTTCTTATTCCAGTCCTCTCTCTCTCCATGTTATTTACCCAGTATCAACCTATAGCAGTGCATTTGTTCCCAGTGCAAAGGCTACACAGGAAATTTAATGTAGTAGCCCAAGTGCTGCCCCTAGTGGTAGGAATGTTTTACGTATGCTTTACTGAATTCTAGTGTAAGATTGAAAGGTGAACTTTAGACAAATAAAAGAAAGTATCTCCACAACTCCTCTACTCAGTTTCAGTATTTAGTTCTACATGCTCCAACATATATACATTTTTTAATGGTAGAAATTTTACTTCCATACACTTATTTGAGTGTTTTCAACCTGGTTAATTTTCATTAAGAAGGTCTAAACATTAAAAAAAACTTTTCTATAACATGTAGGCACTGCTGTCTAAAGGCCTTTTTCCCCTTAGTTTTTCTTATAGGGCGTCTGTGCTTTCCAGAAAGAGGAAAAGTGAGAAGTGTGTTTCCCCCAAGTTCCTCCTCATCTCTCCCAGGGGAGGATGGCCACTGCACTCCCTTCTCCTCTAGTCTCCTTTGAGGATTTTGTGCACGCACACATACATGCCTTATGTGATTTTCAAGTCCTGGGTCCAGGACTCTGAGCCATCGCCCCGTGGGATTCAGCATCTTACCCATGCCACCTGCTGGCCCAAGCCATCCGTTTTAATGAGCTATAAAATCTCCGTTTCCAGATGCTTCTTCACAGACCTCTACCAATGGCCGACGAAAATTTCCACTAGTCTAAAAGGTAATAACAAAAAGAACCACAGGGTGAGCGTTTCATATGACTAAAAGCATTCCGTTCGAAAGATAGGTTTTTATTGTGAAATTATGCCATTTCTACCTTTTTAATGTTAGAATGTTCTGCTGTACGAATAGATGATATTTACTTGGCAACTTAGTATGATCTGATTTTCTGTGTTAATTTTACTGATCTTTCACATCTGAATGTTTGGAAAGCACCTTAAGAGTTACTGTCAGGAACAAACGCACGTGTTTCAGAGGCAAGGCATATTCATCTCTACTCAAGGACTACGCAGTTGGCTGGGTTTGGAGTAGGGCTTTGGGAGCAGCACAAAGGGGGCAGTTCTTGACCTTGCCGTTTGCGGCGGCGTAGCAGGTGCACTGTTAAGAGGCAGTGTAAGCGCGAGTGCCAGGGAACGTAGAGTGGTTGGGAGCTGCTGGAAGGGAGCCAGCCGACTTGGTTCCTGGAGAATGCGGAAAGTGAGATGGGAGAAACCCATGCTAGGAAGGCTGGCAGATGGGAGCCAAGGCTCGCGGTCCCTTCACCCTGGGAGGGCCTGCCCGAGGGGAGCGTCAGCGCTGGAGAACACTGAGGACAGGCGGCGAGGAGAGCTAGGTCAGGGACAGTCGGCTCGCGGCGCAGCAGCGGGTAAGCGAACTGACTGGCTAAGGACGCACGTGCAAATCAGTAGAGAAGGGGGCACGTACTCTACGGAGAACGGCCCACTACCCCTTCTTCTCCGGGTCCGGATTGGCCAGGGTGTGGGGTCGGACACGCCCCTCGAGCCCCACGCACCCAGTCAGCGACGAGCCTCCTCGCCCCGCGAGACACGCCCCCTGTCCCAAACTCTGGGAAGCCTTCCCGACCCGCTCGAGAGCACATCGCCCATCCGCGCCTGCGCAGCCCAGGCCCCGCCCCTAGCCCATGCTTGGGTCCCCACAGCAAACATGGCGGCTCCCTGTGTGTCCTGCGGCCGGGTGGTTTCCTACCGCCTCTTTCTCGGGGGTAGGGTTATCCTCGCCCAGAGGCAAGGCTTGTGGAAAACCGCTGCAGCTGAGTTGCAGAAAGGTGCCGGGTCCCAGGTAAGGCCTGGGGGACTGGCCGCGGCGGTCCTTGCAGCGCGAGTATTGGAGGCGACCGCGCCACCTTCCCTGGCGTCTCGCATGCCCTCGGGGAACCCAAAGCCTCAGGTCCGGGGTGGGCGGGGTGTGGGTTGCAGCGGCAGCTCTGGGGGTCGTTTCCGGTCTGTGGGAGGTGGAGGCAGGTATAGTTGCCTGCAGACGGAACCAGAACGACCTAGGTGCAGTGTTGAGTCCGGCGCTTCCCGCTCTCCATGCTCTCAACCCAGAGGGGAAGAGAATGGAAACTTCTGAGCGGCCTGGAGGACTTAATGGAGAGTCATTCGGTGGAGAGGAGAGAGTGACTAAAAAGTGCCTTGTATCTGTGCAGCGTTTGTTTTCTTAATTTTCCCGAAACTGTCTCTAGGTGGAGGCCAGATCTTGTACGATTGGTCCCGAGGGCGGTCAGGATGCTAGCTTGAGGTTGCAGGTCCGAGCGGCCCATGATACAGTTTGCTGACATCGGACCTCAGAAGGAGGAACAAGATTTAAGAGGAAGGAAGACGAGTTTAGTTGTGGATATAATTGTAGGGAACCAGCAGTTAGCGTAAGGGCTGTCGCTGGACTCCTATGTAGCCGACCGCGGTTGGAGTCCCGGACCCGGTGGCTTAAACTCACACCAGGCGTATGTGCGTGCGTGCCCAATAGCCCGAGAGGAGAATGGAGGAGAAGGGATTGCGGCGTGGCCAACCCCCCTGAGGGGTGATTTCTCGCTTTCTGTCTGAATGTCTGTCTCTGTCTTTCTGGCAAGCGCTCGCGCCCTATAGCAAAAACCTCTCCAAAAAAAAAAAAAAGTTAAAAAGTTGTGGATATAATTGTGATTCTGGCGTCTGTGATGACCCTTAGGAGATTCCCAGTAGTCCCATAGATAGCAGGTCTGTAGCTTGAGACAAACGACTTAGAAGACTTCTGTTGCTTTGTACATGGTAATGATGTCTTCATCCGTTCATTTATTTTTCAGACATTCGTGTGTGTGTATGTATGTATGCATGTATTTATTGATTATGAGAGTATACAAATACAAGAGCAGAAGAGAGGGAAGGAAGGTATTCTTGACAGAGTCTTGCCAGGGGCCTCCTGCCCCAGCAGCCCAGTTTGCTAGAGGTGCAGGTGCTGGTTATCTAGCCTGGCCTGTTAAGATTGAGCCACAAACCTGGACTTTACATGCAGTGTCAGGCAGTGTGCAGAGGTGCCCTCCTGCTTTAGCAAAGTGGCAGGGCCATTTTTATTTTTATTGGAAAATGTGCTCTAAGTTTTTCTTTTTTCATGTGTATCTTTGTTTCCTTCCTGCATACAAATAATTGTATGAATGGGACAGTAGCTTAAAAAATAATTCTCATTGTTTATACTTAGTGTGTGTATGTAGAGGGAATAGCTTTCTCTTCCTCCTTTGAACCCCTTGAATCTAGTATTTGTCCTTCTGTGTCTTTCTCCATGTTCTTAATAATTGTGTACAAACATACATCCATATGCACATTTTAAAAAATGGGATCACATTGGATTGCATCCCACTTTGCTTTCTGTTTTACACATAGAAGTCCATCCAAGTCACCTATTATGTATCTAAAGCATTTTTTCAGTGCTGCATAATATTCGGAGGTATGAATGTGTCCAAGTTAACAGCTAATAGGCGTTTGCTTTGTTTCAACTTCTTGCCCACTCATGAGGTGTTGTAGTAAACACCTGGGTCTACTTCTTAGGTACCGATACTTTTATTTCTGTGGGAGAGATTTCTTCTTGGGAGGTTAGTGCTGCAAGATATGTGCACATCGTAAATCTTAAAAGATATTTCCAGGGCCAGGTGGTGGTGCAGTGCAACTATGCCCACATTGGAACGGTCCGGGATTTGTGTCCTGGGACTTTCTAGGGCATGCCAACTGAAGCTGGAGGTGGATGGTAGCAGGAAGGTCCTGTTGGGAATCTCTCAATAAATAAAAATGAAATAAATGAACAACAAAAACAACTTAAAAAAAAGTTATTTCCATAGTTTGCCGAAAAGATTATAGCCTTTTACAGTTGATACTGGAGAGTACCTTTTTTTCCAAACTATTTTAGGTTTCATTGACTTATTTTGTTACATGAAGGGTGAGGAATGATTTCTCCTTGTTATTTTAATTTTTATCTCCCTGAGCACTCTTTTCTTTTTTTAATTAAAATTTTTGCCATAGAGTGTGTACTCTTGAAGGAGGGAGACAGAGAGGGGGAAAGAGAAGAATGACCTGCCTGGGGATGGCTATGCCACAATCCCTTCTCCTTCATTCTTCTCTCAGGATTTTTGGCAGGCATGCACATATATCCAAATTGATTTTCAAGCCACCATTTCCAGGACTTGAACCATGGAGTCAGCTGTTTGGGATATCCAAGTCCTTAACCACTACACAACCTTCTGGTCCTCCCTGACCACTCTTAATAAAGCATCCTCCTATTCCCCAAATGTGGCACATGTGTACCGAGCACATTACCAGAGCCTGCTGCTGTGAAGTAAACAATTTGTAGTCACAGAAACAGTTCTGGACATATTAACCCTTTATACTCTCAAGGGGTGATCTGAAGGCTAAATGCTCAAATTCCTTAGTACCACTGTGACATATGTTTTATCATATGAAGTACAGCTCAGATTTATTGAAACCCTTAACTGATTCCTTAGGTTATTAATGATTCCATACATTTAAAGAGTTTATTTGAAATATTGTTTCTTGACTTCCGTCTTTAACATTATTTTAATGTTTACTTATTTATTGCTTCATGAGAGACAGTGATAGAGACAGGTACCTCTAACAGGGTTTCCACAGTGTGATCCACGCCTTGCTCACCTGTGTCATGGGCATGCATAGGTAGCATATTCAAGGAGGTCCAGGGATGCGAACCCTGGGACTTGCCAGTAAAAGTTCGGCACATTATGAACCACCCCCTGGTTCCATCCATCTACAACATGTATAGTTATATTTCTCTTGGTTCTGGTGTTTCTTACAATTAAGAATAAAACAAAATAGTCCTCAAACCTAAAATGTTATACTCCCTAAAATGGACACCCTCAAAATGTAGATTTGGCAGAGATTAAAAGGTAAAATACAGTTTAAAAAATAAAAGTAAATAGTCTAGCTCATATTGATTTACAGTTAGCTTCAAAGGAGAAAAAAAGGTAATGAGGTTTCTAAAAATAAAATAATTTATATTTGACTTTTTGGCATTTCCCCATTAATAGAAATATTTTAAAGGCTCACAACAGCCCTGTGAAGTCATTTCACACATGTAAGGACTCAGGATCAGAAAGATTTGAGTCATTTACACAGTTATGCGGCAAAAAAGAGACACAGCAACTGGACTTCAAAACTATGGTTGTTTACCCTGATAGCTAGGAAAACTACTAAAACGAAATGAGGATAGAAGTCTGACTACTTTTTCCTATTTTCCAAAATTCTTTCCAGGTGGCCTGGAGAGAGTCACACCCAGAAATTTTAACAAACCATTTTGACCCATTGACAGCAGGATTCTTCCTTCTTCTTGTCCCTGGCACAGTATCTTTCTGATGTGTATTAAGCGTCTTTATTGCTGTTAAAGTACATTCTTTTCTGATCTCAGCAATCACCACCCTAAAAACTGTAAAACCCACCTGTAAGTCCCCCCACAACATGTCCCACCCTTTTGAGCCAGACCAATGGAAAAACTTGTGTCTCACTCTTAGAATCAAATAAAAGAAACCCCTGTACCTGACCACTGCTAGAAAGGCATGTTTTTTGTCTTCTCTCCGGGCCTAGGTCACTCATATTCTGCTTAGAAGTAAACTGAATTATTATTTTTACAGAGTTGCTTATTTCTGTTGATAGGAGATAACCCCAGGAGGGGACTGTGTGTGCATGTATACATGCTTGTATGCTTACGTACCTCCCTTTGTAGAAACTATGTTCTTCCTGAAATGTGAATGAAAACAAAATCCCACCTTCCCACCTGAGTTAGTTATAGTTGTAGAGCCTCGTCTTTGATTAGTTTGGATTAATCTACAGAAAAGCTCCTACTTTATTTAGCTCTCTGTTATTCTTTCATTAGTTGATAAACATTTATCATTACATGAACCAACATTTAAAACAACGGAAGCTTCTATGGTTCATTTTTTTCTGAAAAGCATGAACCTAGAGATAATTCAAATGAAGTCTTTAGTTCTATACATCATAAGCTTTGAATCTATATGTGTGCCTTTGTTTCTATAACAAGGACAACCTCTGCAGTTTAGTCTCAGTTGGTCAAGCCAAAGGACACCAGCAGTGACAGGAATTCAAACTGTGGCTAAACTATGATCATCTTTTTTCAGCCTGAGTTCTAATATAAAGTGTAGGCACTCATTCTCAGTCTTTTCTCACTCCCACACAGCCAAGGGATGCCCAGCACTCCCATGAGTGCACTGCTTAACTGCCACAAAGAGTCCAGATGGGGCCCAGCAGCAGTGGCACAGGCAGCAGGGCACTGCTGTGTGATGCTGGAATCACATGTTTCTAGGTCATCCCAAACATACCACATGTGCACGTGGGTTCCAACCCTTCACCACAAAAGAAAAATTTAGAGCCAGGGCTTTCTCATGCACATTACTTCAAAACTAGCACTCGCTTTACCATAAAAGTCAGTGCCAGCTCCATAGTACAGCAGTAATATGCTGCTCAAAAAGAAGCCAGATCCCACATGGCGACCGCAGTTCAGATTCCCAGCTGGTTAGTCTGAAGCAAGCAGGGAATGCCCATGAGTGTCCAGGATCTGTCAGGTGGAGAAAGGAGATTGCAGTTTGACTAGTCCCTGAGGAGGGTGCTCATCCCTCTCACTCTCATGCACACATGTACTCTACCATGAATAGAGAAAAACATTAAAAAAAACTAAACATTGGACCAGCAGTTGGTGTAATGGCTACGTCGCTAGACTCCCATGTAGTCGACTATGGTTCAAGTACCAGACCCAGTGGCTTAAACTCAGGCCGG